CCAAAAATCGTGACAACGCAAACTTTACCAAAGATTGTTTTGCCAACGCTGAGGATTAAACCTGACAGGGGAAACCGCCCGTCAGCACCTTTGCTTTGCTGGCCACCGGAGAGGTGGGATGATAGGTCCTTACATCCTCCATGATGGGGCACGCCGGCAAATTACCTTCAGCTTGCCGGGCCCGCAACACTTCGCGGCAGAACGGGTCCGCTTCCACCTAAAGCAAGAACCACAAATAATAGACTGAAGGTCACCTTGCTTTGTCACTGTGGCCCCTGCCATCTCCACAGTGTGGAGCACCCTGCGTAGAATTTCATAAAAGTGAAAACTCTGGTCAACTCAATCTTCGTATATCAACACTCGATGCAAACACGAGCAGCACTACCACAGCGTACACCTTTTATTCCTTCACGGGTCGTTGAGCGCCCGCTTTCGTGGGGGTTGCTCCGTTTCTACATCAGGGTGATGATGACCAGGCTGGTCGGGCCCGCGGCTCGAAACCTGGTCTGCCAAGCTAAGGAACCAGAAAAATTAAGAAGATTAGCGATTCAAGACTGGATTGAGAACAACGTCTAAGCGCAAGTCTGCTGTGTCATTGCCAGATGAGCGCGACAAATTGGACGCTGGGAAATCTTCATCAGGGCATTGCACCCATTCGGACTGCTTCCAGACCCACCTTGTTTGCAAAGCCATGTCAAAAGTAAGATCAGCAATTTCTGCACTGCAATTGCTTGGTATTTCTGCTGTCAGGCGGCGTAGTGTTGCGCCAACGGCGCCAAACCATCGTTCCACGGAGGACCCTTAGAGAGAATTGGTTGGTTTAGTTCATTTCATATCATTTCAACAATTGCGTTCATCTCACACAAAGCGAAACTCACAAGGGGACAAATGACACCAAGCAGCTTTATTTGGTTTATGCCAACCGTCCGAACATTCATCACATCAAGTGAAGTCATCGCGTAAAGGGCCGAGTTCACCCGCCCTTTGATTATGAACAGCTACGCTCAACGACAAAGTTAAGGCAAGCTTCAGGTTGCTGCCAAAAAAACAAGGTATCCAACTGAAAAATTCAATGACTGCTGGCCGGCCTGCGCATTCCCAGCTCCAGGCCTCCAATCCCTGTGAAACAGGAGATTGCGGTCATGCGATGCTTGTCCTGCAACAGCTAGTGTTCACCCCGCCAAGCCCCTAGACATTCAGAATCCCAATCCTCACCAAGCGGGAACATTCGTTGCACCAGGTCCGGGTCCACGACAAACGCGTACGGGCTGGTCCAGCCCAGAGGGAAACCTCCCAGAATCACAAAAACTACACACAAAGTTGAATGCGTGTCCATGACATTCGTATTCGTATACAACAAACTCTGACAAAAGGCTTCCCAAATTGGCTTGCTTCATTTTGGCAGTATGCCTGAACAAAAAACTCAAACTTCTGTTGGTTGGTTGTTCATTTGGTTCAAATATCACAATGAGGTGCTGCGCGGCCTGACATCCACTCCGCAGTGGCCACTGACAAGAACTTCCCAACGGGTTCGCCCAAGTTCCTTTTCAATGACAAATATTCTTCACTGAAAGCAATCTGATTGGCAAGATCCTCAGCAGTTAAAAAAGAAAGAGAAGGCGGTGGCATATGTCAAACAGAGCGCAACTGCCCAAAAACAAAGGGTCTGACAGAAATTCCGCGCACCGATACTAAGGATTTGGTGACCGTAGTAGAGGCCGAAAAGCAGCCTCAAAACCAATTCACTATTGGCAAACATAAACTTGACAATGAGCAACTAGTACTAGCTGACATCCAGCGATTGTGTTGGAATAACGTGAACAACTCCTTAGTAAGCCTCAGCGTCTCGCGAATCGTACTGTACTGGCGGAACGTCTTGGTGCCTGTCCACACCTTCAGCAAACTGCAGCCAAAAAAATGCGATTGGTTTCAAACCTCAATAGGCAACCAATAACTCTATGTCTATAGGCAACAGTTTAACAGCCGCTCCTTCGCACCGTTGTCCTTCTTTCCCGCTTTCTGCCGACTGACCTGACACGCGTCGCAAATAAGACCCAGGTTTCTGCGTTTATTAACCGAAAGCAGGACTGGAATTCAGGCGGAAAATATTGAGCCCCACACGCACTTCAGCTGCAAGTTCTTGACTTTGGGAAGTCTGATGACCCACCGGCGCAAAAACTTGGCGTAGATGAGGCCATGTTGAGGCATCTGGCGATTGGTGTGTGTTGCTTGGGACTCAGCAGAAAGTGGTTAGTAGCCCTCCTGCCTTCCCATTGACTTTGAATACCTGCTTGGTCATCCACCGACAGGCCGCAGGACGTACCTTCACCTTCTTCTCAATTCTTTGTTTGGCCTTACATGCCTTCATTGCCTCGCGTTGCATGACATTGATTTGCGCTCCAATTCATACACACAGCATCCAATAGGTGGCTCAGCAAACAGCCGGGTTTAACGCGCGTAGCGCCTGCTTTGTTTTGGTTGTCGTAGCTTTGGGATCCGGGCCAACTTCCTCATCAGACCTGAACGCTGCTGGCAGCCCTGGCTTTCCACAGCTCAAATCAAAAGTGCGCAGTTCCCATCAGTTCGCTTGGGCCCTGGCAGGGTGGTCAAGGCTGGTAATGGCATGGTCAAAGTTGCGCGCTAAAAATTGTAGCTTGTTTGACACAGCTGGCGAACCACAGCCACAAACACATCTGAATCCACAAATTGACAAAGAAACAATATCTAACATACAGGTGTCCTTGTAAACATGGAGGCTGACAAGGAAGAGCAAGTTTCATACAGTTCTCACAACATCTGCAAAAAGAAATCGCACACCGCCGCGCCACACTAAGCGTGGCAGCGTGAGGGCAGAGGAAGGGCCCCTTTACCACATTTGTTATTTGCAAAACTTAAATTTGTTTTTGTTCAGGTTAGGCGCGTGTGGCATGTGACCGCTAGATTTTCAGTCGACCTCCTTTGTGAACTTTGCACTTGGATTTCCAATCCATCATGCGATTCTAGGCCTCCCTGTGAAATAAAAAGGAAGGGTATAGGCAGCGTGGGGATCTGATAGAAGCCCAAGACTCTGCACCCCAAAACGTGGCATGTCTACCAAGAGGGTGGGGAGGGAGGGCCATTGGTAGCGGACGCAAACAGCTTGACATCAACAATCCAGTGGTAAGATGTGGCAGGTATCACCACAGTAAGTGCGGCGCCAGATGAACCACAACCACCACCCGACCCACGTGCATTCGCAACATCCTTACCCCATTGGCCATCAACAATTCAATGGTGAGATGTGGCAAGTGATCACCACAAAAAGTGGGACACCAGATGCATATGGGACACCGATTGCAAAGAAAACGCTATACTTGTCAAGCTTGTTGTCAAAGTAGTCGAAGGTGAAGTCGTGTGTGAACCTGCAATGCTTTGGGTGGCTGGCGACTCCACCTGTCTCACACGCCAGCAATCTTTGGCCATGTGGCCCGGCTTGCCGCAGGTCCAACACACCTCACTGGGATTCTTTCCCTTGCCACCTTTTCCTTCCTTGCCACCACCCTTGCCTTTCCCATCTTTGCCACTGGATTTGCCGCCTTTTCCTTTGCTCTTGGACTTGTCCTCTTTACCCTTGCCCTTGCCCTTCTGCTCCTTCGACTTGCTCTTGCCCTTCTTTCCATCACCTTTGATCCTGTCGACCTCCATTGGCATCGCACCATTGGGATCATTCATTGGGCTCACTCCAGAAAAGGTCAAGGCACCTGACTCATTCCATTTGGTCGTAGCAGTGTCAAAGGCGATGATTGCTTCCCTGATCTTTCCGTAGGAACTGCCTTCGTTCAGGGTCAAATTTAGATGAGTTTTCATCTGGCCGGACACAGCTCTGAGCAGGACAGCGGATTTCATGTCCTGGGACAGCTTTCCACCAAGGCGCTCATACTGTAGGTAGTGTTCCTCCAACTTCAGGATTTGAGGCAGTAGAGAACTCTTCATGTTGAAACTCGGATAGGACATTATGCCCTGCAGCAAGTTCATTGTTCTGTTTCTGGCTTGAGGTTGACAGTTCATCAACAGCTGCCTAAGGGCTTCCATGCCGTTGAACTTCTCCACATTCTTTATCACCCCAGTCAACCTTCCTTGCACCAAACTTCCCAACAAACTGTAGAGAAATCGACTCCGCTGCTGTTCACCTTCATCTAAGAGCTCCCAATCCACCTCTGTTCCAGGGTTGGCCTCAAGCTTCTCCAGCTCTTCCTGAAAGGCACTGTCCACCACCACCAGGTACTGCTTGATCGTCCAGTACCAGTCTCTCCATTGCAAGACCTCCTGCTCCCGGTCGATGGGGTTGAAGGCACCGGGTCTCGGTATCAGCTTGGCCAAATCCTTCTTCAACACTCCATGCTCTTCACCTTGTCCTCCTGCTTGTCCACTCGACGCCGCCGCCTGCGCTGCTTGAGCAGCTGCTGTTGCAGCAGCTATGACAGCTTGTGCAAGGCCGCTCATCTCCGACTGGTCCATCGTGCTTTGGTGCTCTCCACCAACTTCCTCAGTCACCAGCCAGTAGAACCTCCTGTAGTCCAAGGGCGTCGAAGGTGAGGATCTCCTTCAGGTACTCTCAGGCAAGGATTGCGAGAACGTGCTACACCAGTTTATGGGTGGCTCGGCGGGTGGCGCGCTCAAACAAAGGCCTTTAAACTGGAGCTCCAGTCAGCACCAAGCCTTGGGTGCTGACCTTCTCAGCTCCGCTACCATGCGAGCTTTTCTCGAACCTCAAAGGCCTGTATGTCGGTTGTTTGTACAGGTCGTTTCAAGGTGCGGAGTCAAGTGGCTTTGTTTACGCATTATAAAATATTCAACAAAATTATGTTAAAGTTTTAGTAAATGCCTATGTTGAATCTACCAACGACCAAGATGGGACGATCCAAAAATAACCCAGCTTCTACAGACCAGCAACCTCCAATGGCTCAACACTTGCAGTATTGAAACCTTTGGGATCCACAGTGCAGGTCAGTTGACCGCTCCTCGCTCTCGGCACGTTTCTTCTTCTTCCGCTTCTTGCTGCCTTCTGCCTCAAACGCTCATGACAGTGGGCTCCTGGCTGGGTCAATCTCTCTTTTGGTGGCAACAAGCGACAACCAATTTGCTGTCTCTGATACCTCCGTTCCTCACCAACCCTGTCCACCGCTGGGCTGCCGGGCGGTTTCTCCCACTGCACGGACTCCCGGTGCGGGTGCATGGGACGACGGCACCTCCCGGTGGGGCGCCTTGCGCCGCTCCAGGTCGTTGCTATGGGACCTGCGTCGAAACGGTTCCCGCTGCGTGGTGCATTGAAATGGGTTTTGAGGTCAGAGTGGTGAGTTTGGATGGTTATGATGGTAGGTTCAGGAACAAACACCAAGTGTTGTTACCAAGTGTTGTCTGCAGGACCTGTGCTTGAGAACGGACTAAGAAAACAACTGCACTGGTGTAGGCCCCGCCCTTCGTGCAGCGACTCCACCCGCGCTCCGAGCCTTTCCCAAGCACGTTCCACCTGGCGGGTCTCAGCGCATCCCAGGAGCACCCACGAAGCATGGAGCAACAGTCGGTGGACATCTGTCAAGGTTTGAGAACCCACAATAGACAAGTTTGTTCCAGGGGCCTTGCAGGCCTGATTTCAATTTCATGCTCCAGTCTCAACAAGAGACGGTGCGAAACTTACAAGCCCATGCAGATGGAACTCAGAATCACCCCTTCAATGTCAAAACTTGACCCAATGCAATCAACATTCAAAATCTTGAAATTTGCTTCTCAAGGAATGTGTCTGCATGTTCTTCTGCAAGAGATTGGATGATTTGCTTCGTTTGCTTTCTGCCCCATGTGACCATGTGCGGCTTGGTGACCGATCCACATCCATCGTTGTCTGGCCTCCGCGGCGAAGGCCCGGTGCTGCATCAGCAGGGCCTGGCGAACGAAGGGCAAAGACGGGACGGTCCCCGGGTGTCCCCCGGAGCCAAACCGGGAGGATGTCCCATCTTAAGTTTGATCCTGATGTGAATAGTCTGCGTCATCAGGATGATGAACTGATGGACCTTAAATGAATTTCAGAGATGGATATGGGAGAAAATGGCCAGTGGCTGGTGCATTACCAAGAAGATTCACATGTCTGAGTGGCTCTCAGACTTTCAACCTACAACACACGCAAAGGATCCCCTGCGACCAAGGTTAGAGAGTTTGTGGAAGGCTGTGCTTTTGACGGGATTGGCTTTTGACGGGATTGTCATACGGCAACTGGACAACCTGCCAAACAAGTATGGCAAGCAACTCACCGATGTGGTTTCTCCCGACCCATATCTGGGATGACATCGGTTCTGTCGACCCAGGTGCCTCCTGTTCACTTCGAGCTCGGGCATGCTGAGACCTGCTTTTCGCAAGCGGGTCATCAGAGAGGTTGGGGAGGTGGGCCAACAATTGCCCAACTTGGTGAGCGAATCTTTGCTACAAGGAATGAATGGTCGGATCCACAAGCACCCGTAAATTTCGGGGGTGCAAATGGTCACTCAGGGAAGGAGATGCTTTGGACAGTCAGGTGATGAAGACCAGGCATGGACTCATGGACTTGTTTGGTGACTTACATAAGGAGCCACGGCCCATGGTCCTCTTCCTTTCCTCCCTGCTACGACCTCCGTGCTGAAGCCTGCAAATCCCAAAACCCTCGCTGCACAGGTGCCTTTGGGCCGCCCAAAGCACGCTGATGACCTCAGAGGCCACAGCGTCAGCCTAGGACTAACCAAACGATGTTGAGCTACCAGCACAGCCTCAAGCCGAAAGCATTCCGGCCAGTTCTCTCTCCACCAGGTGCTGCTTTTTGGCAGCTCTATGAATCAAGCTGCAAGTTTCTTTGAATTCTCCAGGCTCAACACGAGAGGATTTGCTCAAAGACCTATGTCAAAGAGCGCCTTGATGAAGGCTTGGTTACTTTGAACAAGAGAGCACTCTCAGCTCCTGTACAAGGATGCTGCGACCAGGACCTTCAATGTCACATCTTTGGAGTCCCCAAGTGACATTTTACGGGAGCCACAAGTGATCATAATCTGGGATATCAAAGGTCTCTTTGAAGGTCCTGCCAAAAGCTCCCTCGCCCCATCTCAATGTTTCGTACCTTGTCATTTGCCCAAAGAAGGCTGAGGTCAGGTATCATTCACGTTGGCCTCCAAGATTGAAGGTTGATACTGATATTCATGAAAGAACTGGTCAGGTCTCATTGTGATTGCACTCTTGAGTTTGCTTGTCTTGTTTTGACTGGCTAGGATTCTCAAACGTTCGCCCATGACAGTGGGAAAGGACGCGGTAAGATCTGAATGGTAAAATACGCCCTTAGCAACGCAGACTTTGGCTGCAGATTGTTCTCGACGCTGAGCCCAAGAATTGGCGGAAAACTTGCCACTACCTTGGCGACTTGCATCTTGCTGAGCCCCAACTCCAGCAACCACTCCACCGTGAGCTTCAAATTCTCCTCGACACTGTACCCAAGAGGTTGCGGTTTCACTGCCACTGCCTTTGCAACTTGCATCTTGCTGAGCCCTAACTCCAGCAACCACTCCACATGCTGTACCCAACAATTGGCGGAAAACTTGCCACTACCTTTGCAACTTGCATCTTGCTGAGCCCTAACTCCAGCAGCCACTTCACCGTGGGCTCCAAATTCTGCTCGATGCTGAGCCCAAGAAGTGGAGAAGCTGCCTTTGCAACCTGCCTTTTGTTCTGGCCCAAGTTCAGGAGCCAGTGTATTTTGGGGCTCAAGTTACCTTCAATAGATTGGCTGTGCAATTTGATGGCTTTCTTGATCAAACTGATGTCGGGCGGGCAAAAGCCTTCATTCTCGAGATACTCGACAACCTCCTCCCTTGAGTTCTTCCCCCCTAGTTTGGCTCCACTGCAAACTTGAGGCCATTGTCCGACAAGATCCCAGCTTCATTAAGCATCTGACCCCGAATTTGCTCCGAAACACTCGGGTGCAGGGCGTCTCCTAGTCCTAGCTTGCTCCTCATAATCTGCGCAATGACACTATGCAAAGTTGCTGCTAGCGAGGGCTCATCTCGTTGATGCCAAGCATCAACTCTGATCCATAGGATTTGCCAGGCAACAGTGTTTTGCTCACGGTGTGAGAGAGTCGGACAACAAATGATCCCGCAGGTGCATAAGTTAACAATGCTGCATTCTTCTTGTGATCCATTGCAATGCCTTCCTTTTCTCCATGCCTCCAATACCCGTCATATTCCACAAACAGCGCAGCTGTCCTATCTTTGAGAACCCCATACGCGGCCAAATCGGGCTCCACCGCATAAGAGCTCTCCGATGTCCGTTTGAGGCATCAGCAGAACCGCTAGCTGTGACAACAACTCCGCCTCTGCTTGACTCCCCGCTCTTCCCCTGGGCCAGCCTTTGGCCCACCACGACGGCACATAGGCCAACGGCAGGGCCAAGAACCAAAGGCCCAGAAGCGGACGCCGCATGTTTCGCATGCGTCCGCAATTGCAGTGGACTCGAGCTGGTGCCACTGGGTTGGCCACCCACTTCGAGCACGGTGGCTGCTGCTTGAACATCCTTTCCTGTATAGGGGGCACCCAAGAAGAAAACTCGATGATTTTGGATCTTTTGGAGGGGTCTCCGACCAGAAGTCTAGAAACTTGCTGCCCCATCGCAATAATGTCTGTGGCAAGGAATCTCTAAGTTCTACCATCTTCAAAAGGCACCTGTTCCACATGGGCTGCTAGATTCCCACAAACGTCCATAGCAAGGACCCAAACACCACAGGCCACTGGGGCATCCTCACGGAGACCACAGCGGCCGTCACCATCCCTGCGAAAAAGACAGATTCGGAGCAGTCGTGTTTCATGTCTGGGGAGGTTTAGGAACCGGGCTATTGATCATATACATGTTCCTGACTTTCTTGCTCTGGTGAACCATGGCTCTGCCTAAAGAAGTGTGGCGGAACTATGTACTATATATGCGTATATATTGAAGCTGAAGGTGCGTGATCACGTCACCTACATTAGCAAAAGACTGCATGGCTCAACACGGGTATTGTCAAGCGGATTTCTTGCGATCTTTCTATTGCCTGTGCACTCTTTTAGAAGAGACCGAAAGGACCTGATGCTGCATCCGGAGAACTTGACAAAGGTCAACATGGATGGCCACTAGGCACGGCAAACATAGTTTTGGGTCAGGTCTGTGTTGCAAATTAGTAATGTGAATGCTTATTAGTACATATAACTGACTTATATATATATATACAGTATACATAACTGCCCAGAAAGTGTTTTCCACAAACACTGCAATGAATCAACACGCACGCATGCACACACTTTGTGCCTTCTTGAGCCCCTGCAACTACATGTGTGACGTCCATATGGGCAAAACCAATAAAACCGCAATTCGACCCGCGCCTGGGCTGCCCAAGACCTTAGGGCGGCCGTCCAGTCGGATGTGCTCTGTCAGCGGGGGACACGGAGATGAAATGAAATACAGTGGAACCCTTAGCCTAAAACTTGAATGACTTTTCTGAGCCAACCACCCCAAAACATATGTCATATATATATATATATCCCCACAAACCGTATCGAAATTTGGTGAGCAAAATTTGCAACGCATTCTGAAGGTGTCGCAGGTGCACAACCAGACCAATGGATCTGGGGTCTTGAGTATTCATTGGAACGTTTGGTGTTCCCTCTCTCTGTCTTCCAACATGCGGCCTAGTCACAAGCCCTCGATGAACTGAGTCCTACATAGATAACAAACTCTTGCTTTGTGGAACACCAGGCCCACCAAACATCAGGCAACTTTCCTGAGGCATTCGCATAGGTCAAGAGCAACCGGAGGATGATGAAGAATGCGCTGATGCCCTGGCAAACAGTCGAACTTCTGGCGGCAGTTTCTTTTCAGTTTCCAGTTGGGATCTGTGGGGGTCCTGCATTAGGCCTTCTGTGTGCCCTGACCCAGGATCTTCCGTACACTTTTTGCGTCGGATGTTGATCGGTGGGTCGAAGAACCAAGAGGATCTTCACTCCGAGAAGCCAAATCCAACTCAATGTGGTACATATTTGTCTACATACATAGTAGCAAGAAGCTACTAGTAACAAGGGCATCGCTACTAGTAGCAAGAAGCTACTAGTAAGAAGGGCATTACATGATCATTTAGATCATTTAGCAAGCGTTAGACCTTTCAAAGCACACCTCCTCACAAACTGTTCACCCCTCTTTTGACAGCATGCACACGGCCCGCGCTCGGCAATTGTCGCTTGTCGCGATCGGCGGGAGAAGCACCGCCAGGCTGAGGCCCAAGAGCCGCAAACTTTGCTGGGTGGCATTGACCGTCTGCACAGCGTGGCGCGTGGTGCGTGGCCACGCAAGCAGGGCGTAGGGGGTGGCAGCCAAACAGGTGTTGGAGTTAGCAGGATTCGTCAAACCTCTTCGCAGCACGTTTCGTCACCCACGGTGTAGGGTGAGGTCAGTGGAAAAAACATTTGTTTACTTCTGGGATAGTAAGTGTGATGCTGCTCGGAGCTTTGAGGATGGTGGAAACACCTTGCTTAAGAAGTAACCGCACAATTGAGTTTTTCACCAGCTTGATCAAAAGTGAATCTGAATATATAGTCAGAACTTTAGATGACAGCCATCTCTCTCACGCTCGTTCTGTAAAAGTTGTGCTTTCCCAGCAAAACTTCCGGGCAGCAAACACCTTGCGATGACCCATCTGGCCTTGGTCATGACCTGATCGCTTGTGCGGAAATGTGTGCAGAGATGCAATAGTACGTCTAAGCTACACAAGGGGTCGTAGACTGGCAAGTAGAACTTATCTCAGTCAGTGGCAGCGAAAATATAGTTGCTAGCCCAACTTCCACCCCGCCTTTCAACTGGGTTTGCACATGCAAAGCACTAGGTCCAACTACTGGGTCTCAACAAGTCTCAAGATGTCTTGAAGATTTGCTGTCCTTCACATCGAGGCACTAAGGCCGCGACCAGGGCGATGGAAAAAGCGGCTGCAAAATGTGGGGATTGAGGGCTGATGATCTATGGATCTGCACAGCAGTTTTGGAGAACTTCTCGGATCATTGCCCTCTGTGTTTGTACTTGCCGTTTCCTGCTGGCTCGGCTGTTTTGCATTGACCAGAGATCGGCCCAAAAGATCTCCATGCATGAACCATGACCTGCCATGTCGCGGGCAGTGGGGGTCTTCTAATCGCTACTCGCTGGTCCCCTCATGTGCTTGACCTGCGTAGGGGAATATGTTCAAACTCAGTTCCCTCCTAAACTATCAGGCCGGGTTTTCACAAACTTCTCTCTTTATTAGGCTTTGCAAAAAGAGTCCTGAAAGGCCCTCTGGTGCTGCATCATTCTTTGAAGGAACTGTTTTCTACCAACGAATTCTGAGCCCAAAAAGTCCACAGGCACGGTGCCGGCGCGAAGTAAAAACAGCACCAGCCATCAAACGAAGCGCACTTTCCTTATTTTCCTGGCACATCAGGGGGATTCAGGAGATCCGGATGGAGGTCCGACATCTGCCAACCATCGAGCTCAATCTCTCAACAAATATCAGGTCAACCCGAGACATCCCGACACCGTTTCACAAGCTTTTTGAGACCATTGAATAATGTGGATGACTCACCAAAGAACTAAGTTGTCTGATTTCTTCTTCCAATGGGTCTTCCAACATGTCTATTCGACTCTATTCCTTCCATTTTGATCTATTTTGGTTCTCTGCCGGTTTGTCTCAGAATAAGGCGAAGCTCCTTGGAAAGGACAGTCATTGCGGTTCAAACCTGTGTCTCTCCAGTTCTCAAAATGGCCAACGGTTCATCTGACACCCTCGCATCAAAAAGGTTTTGGGGGGTGCCCAGCTAAGACTATAGGCTCTTAGAGCGATTCAACTATTAAAAGGAGAAAACAAGCAAAACCAAAAAGTAACCACAAAAGAAACTCGTTCACCAGCCACGCGCGCCTGGGCCTCGGGAGCTCCTGGGGCGGAGAAAGTGAAACCAGCACCATGACTCCAGGGATGAAAGGGTCCCTGAAGGCAAAGGGTTTCGGGCATTCCAATGAAAGTCCGTCAAAACTCTTGTCACTGGCATGGAGTGGACCGGGGATTTAGCACAAATTCGGTATGCATATAGACAGCTAAAGAGTGACTATGTATGGGCTAGTGGTTCTATGAGGCAGCATTTGACATTAATGGATGTATCACCTAGCAACTTTTGATGTTTCATAGCTGTCTTCCATCTCATCTCATCTCATCTAATCCAATCACAACGTCACTCACCCTAGCCTTTTCGCCGCTGATCTCCCTCATGCTTCCTGCATACCAAATTCAAAAATCGTCGGCTCTCAGCGTAGTGCCACTGCGGAAATACATGATCCGCATACTGTCCAGTGGTCAATGCCTGACAATAATGTACCTTTTTGAACCCTGATGGCAGAAAAGCAGAGAGCCAAAGATTTCTGTGAACACCCTACAAATAGCGTTCACCGCCTAAAACTGCCTAGGCCTGGCAACAACAGAAGATTTCTACACTGGCCCAAGTTCATCTTTCCGAATTTACCAGGTGACAAGTCCCACCAAACAACAAGTGGAGATCAAAAACCGCTTTTTCATCCGGGATCCGAATTGATTCTGAGAAATCCTGGGCACCACTCCACCCTTTCTTTTGAAGTTGACACGTCAGTCATGAGCACTGAAAACAACCCAACCTGAACTTTGGCTCAAGAAACAAGTGCGGCAGCTTTTTGCTTTTGGTGTCGCACGCTCAGGTTATGAGCCCAACGCCGCCATGACATCGACCACTATGAGACGAAGGCGAGCGGCTGGCGAAAAGGCAGCGGCGGATGCACCGCCTGTGGTGATCGGCGAGGCTGATCGCCGCCTGGACGCGCTGATAGAAGAAGAGGTGAGGAGGTCACGCTCTGCAGATGCGGGGCCAAGGAGGGCATCCGAGGTGGAGGGCACTCCGAGGGGTCCGCCGAGTTCTTTTCGGCCACCTGTGGCTGGGTCATTGGAGCGCAACCCCAAAGCGCTGGAAGACGGTGGGGGTGTGGGGGCAGCAACGCTGAAGTCAGCGAAGACCAGCGAACCTGCGGGGGCACCTTCAACATCGACCAGTTCGGCGGTGGGTTTGGGGGCACTTCATGATGCGGTCCAACGAACTTATCATGTACTTCAACAAGCACTAGCGGGACAACCTCAAGGTCAGGGTCTACTCGCACCTCTTGGACCTGGCACTGATCTGGGAACTCGAGGAGGGCTTTTCGGTGATGGGAGTGGCGTGGTGAACCCGAGAGCCTTGGACTATGAGCCGGGGATGGGGCAAACACCGATTCGGTCACCCAACATCAATCCATTTTGGAGTCCAGGGGTTCAGGAGGCAGCGAGGAGAAATCTGGTGGAGGGAGGTCAACATGGAAGTGAAGGTCTTCATCCTGCTGGAGGTCATGCAGAAGCACGAACGTGCGGGAGTACTCCGGCGGCTGCTGGGGCAGGTGCTGGACCTATGGCACAGGACTCGGGGTCGACGTCGCCGGGTCCGGATGATGTGGAAGCCCTGAGAACCAGAATCCTCCGGGAAGCTGAGGAAGCATTTCAAAGGGAACTTCGTCGACTTGGCACTTCCCGTGAACCAACGGATACCACTTCCTACAAGACTGTTTCAAGTGCTCAACACTTCCGAGACCCTGCACCAGATCAACCCTGTGGACTACCTCAAGGGCGGCACCCGATGTCGAGCTCTACACTGGACCATGGATCTGGGCAGAAGGTGGTGAGAATTGGTGGTGGGGCCTCGACTGCATCGACGACGGAGGCGTTGAGGAACCTTGAACTTCCTGCCTTACCTTCTCCAAATGTTGAGGGAGCTTCAATATTGTTTGTGGACTGGCTCACTATGAGTTTTCCCCTGGTGGCTGACATTTCGCATAGCGCCAAGGCCTGGTGGGAAGAGTCACTCTCCATTGCGCAGGAGCACTATGCACGTTGGTTGACGATGACACCCCTGGACCGACTGCGCGCGAAACCAGTGGTGGTGGTGGAGCCTGCACTGCAGAGGATTGAACAAAGGGGCATTGCAATGTTGTTGGGGGCATTGCCTGACCAGCTCCGGCGTGATCTTGTCAGTGGGCGGCAGCTCTCGGTGGTCCACATCTTGTACCGCTTGCATGTGGCGTACCAGCCGGGAGGAGGGGCGGAAAAAACACAACTCCTCAAAAGTTTGGTGGAGACAAAGTTTGCCACGGGGACGGCAGATTTGCTGACACAAGTGAGGTTGTGGCGACGATGGCTGACCAGAGCGCAGGAACTTCACCTCACACTACCTGACCCTGTCCTCATGGTCACGGTGCAGCGCATGGTTGACAGTGCCACCAAATCAGGAGGTGCTCAGATGGCCTTTCGCATTGCAAACGTGAGGCAAGAATTGCGAGTGGATTATGCACCAACGGTGGAAGCGGTGATGGAGCTGTCTGAGTATGTGCAGGCGGAGGATGGAAGAGGTTTCGCTGACGACACCAATGAAGTCCCAGCCGGCAACCGCCACTACCGGAGCTGCAGGAAGTCAGACCACGACATCTGTGAAGGCTATGGCATCATCCTTCGGGGCCACGGAGTCGGAGGATCGGTCTGCACAAAAGCCGGCCTGCAAGTTTTGGAAGAGTGAGGAAGGGTGCAAGCGTGGCACCAATTGCACCTATGCACATGACACCGCGGACATGAAGGGTCGCTGCTTTAACTGCGGGGGACTTCATATGAAGAAGGATTGTCCGAATGGGGCCAAGGGAGTGAAGCCGGACGTGAAAAGGGTGGCGAAAGTGAAGACCGCGAAGGACTCCGACAAGCCAGAGACGGGGGAGAAGCCTGGGCCAGAGACGGGTAAGATTGATGATCTACGTGGAGATGGTGGGTCACCGCCTACTACAAGGGCGGAAGTGGTGTCGGACAAGCCGCAAGGCAAGGATGCAACTGCTGAGCTGTTGACGGAGGCCACATCGCTTCTGAAGGCATTGCGGACTATGAAGATGCTGCGATTGAAGGAGCTGAAGCCACAATGTTCGAATGGTTGTGAAGCATTGGCTCTCTTGGACGGTGGCGCAACAAATGGACTACGCCGAGCCCGTCCACATGAGATGACAAGATTGGTCCCTGTCACGGTGGAGTTGGCATCGGGATCTACGACCTTGTTCCGTGTCAAGGAGCGCAACACGTTGCTGACCAAGGACAACGTGGAAGTGATAGTTCCATTGCACCGACTAGTGAAGTTGGGCTACAAGCTACAGTGGACTTCGGCTGGCGTGAAGATCACCCATCCTCAAAGTGGAAAGATTGAGTGCACATTGCGAGGTGGTTGCCCTGTGCTTTCTGAGAAGCAGGCCCTTGCTTTGCTGGACATCATGGAGAAGGAGGGCAAGGGGGAACTGATGCTGGACGAGGAGATTCGTAGATGGTGGTCATCAAGATTTCCGGATGTTCCTCAGGAGGTGTGGAACTACATGCGGGGTCAGGACCATTACAATCCGGAAGAGTGTCCGTGGAATCGGCATCAACGACGACGACATGCCCGCGCTCCAGGTGTGATCATTCATTTGTATTCCGGAAGGGATACCAAGACCTGGGCAGCAGAAGATTGGAATGGCTATGAGATCCTCAACGTGGACATCGCCTTGGGCACCCAGTATGACATGCATGCAGTGGGAACCTGGGGATACTTGTGCCATCTGGCCAAAGCTGGACATGTGGTGGCGGTGGTGGGGGGGCCTCCGTGTAGGAGCGTCTCTCGATTGCGGCATCGAGAGCCTGGTCCACGGCCGTTGAGGGGACGAGATGAAAGGCGCTTTGGTTTGGAAGGCTTGTCGACTGTGGAGCAGGACTTGGCCTATGGGGACCTGGCGTTGGTCTTGAAACAGTTTGGACTATGGCTGATGGCGGAGGAGGCCAGGGTGCGTTTGGGAGAAGGTCCAAGGCATCGGTCAATTTCTCCTGCCTATCTGATGGAGTCTCCGAGGGATCCGATGACCTACATGAAGGAGGAAGCTGTTCGGGAGGACATGCCTAGCTTCTGGAACTTC